TAAAGCAAGGACAACTCCAGCTAGCTGGTGCTAGCTTTCGTGAATATGTCCTAGTTCTTCCAGGACATTCAACGGAACAGCCTGCTCCACAGCTGCCTTCTCTGCAGCTGCTTTCTCAGCTGCAACCTTCTCTGCAGCTGCTTTCTCAGCTGCAACCTTCTCTGCAGCTGCTTTGTCAGCTGCAGCCTTCTCCGCCGCTGCTTGCTCAGCTGCAGCCTTCTCTGCAGCGGCCCTCTCTGCAGCAGCCTTCTCTTCTGCTGCCTTTGCCACTGCAGCCTGCAAAGAGAGAGTGGCAAGTGATTGGGGCTTCTAGTTGCCACTTTGCCACTCGAAACATTCGACCTGTCTACTGAGTGGTCAAAGAATATGATAATATGATTGATAAACTTCTGCATTTGTTATTGGATTGTCAATATTAGTTGAGAAGGACAGACTTGATCGCCCAGGTGGAAAGCGTTTCTCGTCCGCAAGCTTCGGATCCAAGTGAGCTATACACCCGGATGAGCCATGAACGCATGCGGATGCACATTTGGAGTAGTGTCTGGTGATCTCAAAAATGCTCACCACTCCAAACTGAAATCAACCTCGACCAAGCCGCAAAAGACTACAGTAGCACCTACCTGAAGCAAGTTCGAGTCACCTACCTGACTGCAAAAAGTACATCAAACAGCTAGCGGCAAGGCGGCGTGTCCCATTTCGAGTGGAGCCAAGTCATGTGACGGTGCCAAGTCATGGTCGGACGGTCGGACCAACCGAGTTGGACACCGTGTTTTGGTCCATTTCGAGTCGGATGTGAGTGAATAGTGATGGGTGTGAACGTCTGTCTCAAAGGAGATACGGGCCGCACCCCAACCAACTGCTACTTTAACTTTTAACGGTGTCTCTCTATGATGCGAAAAAAACGTCTGTTGTCTTTGCCCGAAATCAATGTACTGGTAGGTTGTCTTTGTACCTCTCAAACACCCAACGTCTATTTGTTCTCCTCGCCGATGCGGCGCAGGCGCCCGCCTTAGCCATCTCCGTGAGTCGATTCAGAGCCATCAAGGCTTCCTCACTGGCCGATGCCTGGCTGAGCATTGTTTTGTGGACAAAAGCGGTTTCTTTGGAGGGTCAAAGATGGGCGGATTTGGTTCATAGAATGGGAGTCAATACCTGTTTTGGTGCCTAAAGGCAGATACTGTGCGATGCTTTCAGTCATAGGAGTGGTTCGATGCTCTAACATTGCGAAAATGCTGGCTAATCTACAGCAGGTTGTAGTTGCTCTGAGCTACCAAGGGTCAAAATGATGTCTCTCTCTCTCTCTCCCCTCTTTCTCTCTTTCTCTCACAGCCACTATCGTTTCTTTTGAAGACTTCCAGTTTACCCATCATTCATCATGTCTAGTCATGTCTAGTCATGTCTAGTCCCGATGGTGCAAAAGACCCAAAGCCTCTTGGCCGGAACCGGCCTTCTTCTCCTCACCTTGCATCTTCTCTTGCAAAGCTTCAAGCTCCTTGGAGCTCCTGGTGACCTCCGAGACTCCGCACCGCATCGCGTCTCCGTACACCGGTCCGGTCAGAGGATCAGGTGCCGGTCGTTTCATCACCCAACGCGTCGTTTCCGCCGGGCTTTTGGGTTTTAGCTACTTCCAACTGCGTCGTGCATCTTTGAGAAATGCTAGTGGCGGAGCCCAACACACTCTAGCTCCAGGGTTCAGCTTTTTCAACAATCAAAGCATGGATGGGCTGTTAATGTCCACAAGAAAAGCAAGTTCTTGTGCTGCTGGACCACACCTTTCTCCAGCTCGCGACTGAAATGCCAACGAATTCCATGCATGTTTTTGGCTCCCAGCTTGTGAGAACAAGTTGGAGAAATTGCCAGCGCTTTTGGTATCTTGCTCACACAACTGACTCAGCAACTGTGGTATCTCGCCATCATCTCGCGCTCAACCAACCAGGAGAAACACCGATCGTTGTCATCCCTGTGAAAAGAAGTGTTGAAGAATCAAATTCCGCGGCACTAGCTAAACAAACGAATGCAGCTTAGTATAAAATATAAGACAGAAGTGAAGACCTCTCGCATACCCCAAATCCACACAAACTTCATCCTTCTCAGAAGGAGAAGTGTTGAAAGACAAGACCCTTGTCATGTCGAGGCCATGGGATTTTTGGTGCCATTCTTTCCAGTCTTTCTCATGTTTTTTCAGTCATCTCCAGATTTCCGACCCAAGTTGGAGACTGGGAAGGTGGCACACACTGGAATAAAGAATAAGAGTCGCTGCTGGCAATCGGTTCAGTCTGAGCTGAAAAAAACAAGTTCATCAATACGGAAGGAAGCTGGTGCAACCCTGGCTATTCTGTGCTGGGGTTCAGTGGGTTCATGTTTGACTCATACATCTCATACAAATACATGTGAGCTGAAATTCATGAAGCAGCTCAATCTGAGGCACTCGGTGGCATGTCGCAAGTGCTGCTCCTATGAGTTCACAATGGGCTTCTTGTGCCCTTGGAAAACGAACTCAAGTTCTGCCAGAGGAGAGGAGAGGCTGAAAAAGGAGGCATCGAAACAGGGTCTTCGCAGATCAGTCCCCTCCATCCCCTCCGGTGTCGTCTCAGGTCCTCGCAAATCACTCACCCAGTTGAAGCCACCACGGACTCTGCCGCCATGTCTTACTGGGCCTCACGGCTAGCGGCTAGATCTGATGCCCACAAGGAGTGCCCGACTCGGAAAGTATTCTCTGCATTCAGGTGAAAATCAGTGCTTTCTGTATTCCAGATATTCCAGTCCGTGTGCAACAGCATGAATGGGCTTTTCAGGTTCACAAGATCTTGAAACATCTTTCAAACCCCTGTTCAGCTTTGATGACCTGGTGATACTTCAATTTACAGTATAGTATAGGCATGTATAGGCAATTTCAACATATTTGTGAACACGAATTCACAAAAAGTCCCTTCTTCCGGTCAGCCGCTAAGTGCTACACCTTGACTACACAGGCGCATTAAAAGTGCTCCTTCGCTCACGGAGTGAAGAAAGAAAGACATCACGGATGGAAGAAGTCAAGTGAACAGTTGAAAATCGAGCATATGCGGTGTTTACATTCGCTTCAAACATGCCAAACGCTGAGAAAATCACTGGCTGAAGAGCCCCCTACAAGTTGTCCCCCACTGCTATGCTTTCCAGAGCCATCGTCACATCGTCCCTTTCTGTCCTTGAAGAAGGAGAATCTGGTCGCCCCAGGACCCTCCATATCTGAATGCTGATGACTTTGTTTGGACAACTCTTTTCCGATCACCGGCGATCCACACCTCAGCGGATGCGGCTGGGAGTGGGAGTGGGCAGCACGCGGTCAGAACTGACCGGTCTGGTGGCATGGGCTCGGCCAAGTGGCAGGAAAACACCGATATGCTCACCCTTGTGCTTGTCCTTGTTCCTGAGCTGAACCAAACCACTGCAGCATGGCTCTGAAAAATCGATGACTGCTATATAATTGAATCGAACTCCTTCACTTGCAATGCACCTGTCCATGCGCACCCAGATTTGGAGGGTCAACGAAAAAATATGGCCGACCACATGTCCATGCGCCAAAAAAAGGACTTCCCCTCAAAAAAAAAAAGAAAAAAACCGCCTTCTCCGGGTGAAAAAGAAAACAAAAAGAACCCTTTCTCCTGACATGTGTCCCTCCTCGGACTCCTCCTCGGACTGATCGTTTTGGATCCACCCAAACAAACTCACTCCAAGAGACTGCTTAATAAAATCTCATTATTACTAGTAGTAAGGCACTTGTTACTAGTAGTAAGGCACTTGTTACT